TTAGTTGTTGTTAGGGTAGGGGGGGGTAGTTTAATTATCTTTTTAAAAAATAATGCGATGGAAAATAGGATTAATGATGGGGTAATGGTTTGATAAAGGTATCAACCTAAACGCCCGAGAATGGAGGGTTTTATTTCCAAGTTTAAAGTTGACATTTAAAATTTATCGCTGGAATTGTAAAAAATGTTGAAAATAAATTAAAAATCATGTTCAATAGATGCGAAACGATTAAAACATCATAAACATCGATTCAAATTTGTCACATCGATTTGTTTTAAAACGCCAGTGGGCAAATACAATTTGGCATTCCATTTATAGTGGGTTGGCGAAAAACTTCTAATTTTTTTTATCATTTCATATGAGCTGCTTTGGGGGAATGGGTCGAATTTAAAGCGAATACCAAAAGTTTGGAATTCCTATCGGTGTATTTTGTTTGAATCTTTTATCCTTCTTTATTATAAGCGCCGGTTTTTAACGCATAACATATGCTAAAAATCAAAATAGTTAATCGAAATATTATCTTATTTATGTGGCTCAAAGAACAGAGGGAACATCTTTTGTTTCGGCGTTTTTCGATATATTGTTTTAGGCGTTGGGCGTTTTTTTTTCCACGACAAAGACAGCCTGTCCTTATGCGAATTCATTTTTTATTTCAAATAAGATTTTAATTCGGGGTTAAATGATAGAATGGGTGAACTTAAGGGACGGAATAATTTCATTTTTAAAGGGGGGGATGGGTGGGGGTACAGGATACCTTTCTTTTGATGCAAATGTTCATCCCAATTCAAATAGATGTTTTTGAATTTTCTTCAATTCGCAGGGGTTGAATTGAAAAGCTTAAGGTTTATAATCGAAAATTGTTATTGGTTGATATTTAAATATTGGAATTTAGGTAATGGTTGGAATATGACCCATTCTCATTTTATTTTTGTGGGTCCGCGGGTTGGTTTGCGGATTTTTTGTTTGATAAAGAATGGTTTTGTGGGGGATGGGGTGAGATGGAAAAGATAAATTTTCCATTGTTCAATGGAAATATTGACTTTATTTAAATTCTGTCGATTGTTGTATGGAATTGTTTCTAAACGTGGCGCATCCATTGGGTTTGCCTTTCCGGATGGTTGTTGGGGAGGTTGTTTTGGTTCCCCTGTCGCGGTCGAATTTTGGCTGAAGTGCTTGATTTTTCCAGCCGGGGTGTTTTTGAGCCTCTCTTTAAATCGGTTCATGGGGAAGAAGCTTCCCTTGGAAATCATCCATATAACACTGTGTTTGCTTTTAATTTTCACACAACGGATGGCAAACGGATCAATTAGGATGCCCGCGTTTTACAGTTGTTGCGTAATTCGGTGTGTTTTTAACCACTTTTTTAATTTTAACACAAAACAACTGTTTTTCCTAGAGTTCATTGATTTCTTTCCAGAAACACGTTCTTACACATAATTTCCTAAAGGGGCCTGGCCCCATAGTT